AAATTAAAACCAAAATAAACAAAAGAAAAAATAATAAAAATCAGAAAGGAAAATAGAGAAATCAATGAAACCAGAAAAAAGTTCTTTAAGAAAATCAATAAAATTGATAAACCTCTAGCCAGTATAATCAGGAAAAAAGGGAAGACACAAATTACCCAAATCAGGAATGGGAGAGGTGACATCACTAGAGATGTTAAAAGGATAACAAGGAAATACTGTGAACTTTAATAATTTTGACAACTCAGATTAAATGGACAGATTCCTTGAAATATTGAAAAACACCAACCTGGGCACAGCCCTGTGGCTCAGTGGCTAAAGTTCCACACGCTACACTTCGGGTTTGCGGGGTTGGATCCTGGGCACAGACCTACTCCACTCACCAACCATGCTGTGGCAGTGTCCCACATACAAAAATAGAGGAAGACTGGCACAGACGTTAGCTCAGGGATAATCTTCCTCAAGCAAAAAAAAAAGAGGAGGACTGTCAACAGATGTTAGCTAAGGGCAAATCTTCCTCAGCCAGAAAAAAAAAAAATACCACCAAGCTCATTCAAGGAACAAAAAAGATAACTTGATTAGCTGTATTTAAAGAAATTGAATTTGTAGTTAAAACCTCCACAGAGACAACTCCTTGTCCAGATGGATTCACCAGTAAATTCTGTCACACACTGAAGAATGAAATAATACCAATTCTATGCAAACTTTTCCAGAAAACTGAAGAGGAGGAAATACTCCCAAACTCTTCTGTGAGATCAGCATTACTTCGATATCACATAAAGACAACATAGAAGAGAAAGCCAAGGACTAATATCCTTCAGAAACACAAGTGGAAAAAAATCTAAACAAAATGTTAGCACACATGTACACATTCACACATGTACACCTACAAACTCATATTAACATGTGTACATGCATGCATGTACATGTATACGGTTGCATACATGTACACAAGTCTCTTATGTGTACACAATGCACTCACACGTACACATACACACTCACATACATATACACATGTACACACACTCACATACATGTACACATACACACACCCAAACACATCTCTTACTCCAGCCAACCCACCACATGGCTCCAATGCGTGCAGCACCTGCTCTGTGGAGTGCGTGTACTTCTCTTGATAAAAGTATTTAATCCAGTGTCCCAAACACAAGCAAGTGTCCTGGTGAAGAACCAAGCAGTGAATAAAAATGGAAATATCTTATACGCCAACAAATTGAACAACCTAGAAGAAATGGATACATGCCTAGAAATATACAACCTATCAAGACTGAATCATGAAGAAACAGAAAATCTGAACAGACCAACTATTAGTAAGGAGATTGAATCAGTAATCAAAAATCTCCAAACACAGAAAAGTCCAGGACCAGATGGCTTCACTGGTGAATCCTACCAAACATTTAAAGAAGAACCAATCCTTCTCCAACTCTTCCAAAAATAGAAGAGGAGAGAACACTTCCAGACTCATTTTATGAGGCCAGCATTACCCTGATACCAAGCCTGACAAGGATGCAACAAGAAAAGAAAATTACAGGACAATATTCCTGATGAACACAGATGCAAAAATCCTCAACAAAATATTAATAAACTGAATTCAACGGTACATTAAAAGAATCATATACCTTGACCAAGTGGGATTTACTCCAGGGATGGAAGGTTTGTTAAGTATCTGCAAATCAAGCAACGTGATACACCACATTAACAAAATGAAAGATAAAAGTCATATGATCATCTCAAGAGATGCAGAAAAAGAATTTGACAAAATTCAACATCCATCTATGATAAAAACTCTTAACAAGCAGGTATGGAGGAAACGTACCTCAACATAATAAAGGCATGACAAGCCCACAGCTAACATCAGAGTCAATGGTGAAAAGACGAAAGAAAGCTTTTTCTCTAAGATCAGGAACAAGACAAGGATGCCCACTCTCACCACTCTTATTTAACGTAGTGCTGGAAGCCCCAGTCACAGCAATTCGGCAAAAGAAACAAAAGGCATCCAAATTGGAAAGGAAAAAGTAAAACTGTCTCTATTTGCAGATGACATGATATTACATACAGAAAACCCTAGAGACTCCATAACAAAAACTGTTAGAACTAATAAATGAATTCAGTAAAGTTACAGGATACAAAATTAACAGACAGAAATCTGTTGTGTTTCTACACACTAATAATAAACTATCAGGAAGAGAAATTAAGAAAACAATCCCATTTAAAATTGCGTCAAAAAGAACAGAATACCTAGCAATAAATTTAACCAAAAAAAAGAAGGTAAATCTTCCGATTTGAGGAGATGCTTGGAACACTGACATTTTGAGGGAGCATGTGATATCCCCAGAACAGGCCCAGTGGACCCCCAGCTGTGTGCCCCGGGTGGCGTTGCAGATAGAAAGTAACAGTAGATGTCACAGCTGGGCTGGGGTGAGGGCACAGGCCTCGAGCATCAGGTGGCACTCAAGGAGCCATGCCAGCAGCCGCTTTAAAAAGAAAGAGGCAAAGAGACATCTGAAGTTGTATTCAAAGCTAATGAAGAAGGAAGAGGACAGGACAGGGAATGTCCGGGTCACCGTTTCACACTGTGTTTTCCCGGGGCCCACATCTCCGCCCCATGCTCTCCCATCAAGGGGAGGGTCCATCTCTGAAGCCCCTGGAAGTGGGTGGGCCCTGCATCTGCTCTGACAGCACAAGCAGACACGGGTGGGCCAGCAGAGTGCCCACGCTGGGAACGCTACCATCCAGAAAAGAAGAGACAGATAACTAGACTTCATAAAAACTAAGACACTGCCCTTCCTACCACACTGTTAAGAAAATAAACAAACGGGCCAAAGCTGGGGAGAAAATGTTTGCAAATTGGGTATCTGACACAGGATGAATGGAGGATCTATAAAGACTCCTGTACCTTCTTGGGGGGTAGGGGGTCAAGTGCTGCTGTTAGAGACCTGGAGCTGTGAGGGGGTCTCCTGGGGACAGTGGAGGGGCAGCCTGGTGGCACTGCTTACCACCGAGTCACTGACCAAAGGAGGCCCGACCCCTCAGGGACCATAATGCTGACCTCCAGCTGCTGGGAAGACAGATGGACAATGGGGCAAAGAGCGCAGAACCTCCTGTCGGCAGCATGTGCCCAGAGAAAAGGCCCCCGTGGGCCAAGGGGGACCCTCATCCAGAAGCTTCCTCGTGAGGGGGTGGGAGGAAAGGCCAGGCCTGGGAAAGCTCCTGCGTGCGCTGTTAGAGCCCTCGGCCAGTCACAACCACCCCCGGATCCACCCGGCATCAGACAAGACACACGTCTTAACCCAAATGCGGAAGGGGCTAGAGCCCACGCTGTAACAGCGAGCCGCACATCCGGGCACCGGCCACGCTCACACCCTTCGCTCCTACCTCACGCTTCCCCCGAAAGCACGGGAGTCTGTCTGGTAGGGAGGAAGACCCAGGAGGCTTTCTCCCAGGAGGGCAGGGTGCCATCTGTTTGGGCCGAGTCACAGCTGCGCTCCAGGAACAAGCCCAGTGGCTGCCAGAGCAGTACGGGGACAGGCGGCTCCGCACCCTGCAAAACGTCACTACAGCCAGAAGGAACGCCCGTCCCGAGTGGAGAGCTAGCTTCCTGCTTTCATCCTCAGGAAGACAAAGTAGCCTTTCCCTAACGGGGTCCACAGAACACTGGCCCAGGCTATCCATGGGGTACCACATGAGAAACAGTTCCGACACTCATCCACTCAGGAGCAGGCAGGGACCTTACAACTGGACATCTCAGGACCCCTACTACCCCCAGGGAATCGCGGGGGTTGCGGGGCAGCGTCCACAATCCCGCACGCCCCCTCTCCATCCTACCTGTCTCCTTTGCTTACCCAGGAGCCTGCAGTCGGCTGCCCAGTGTTCTCCCACCTGCCTCAGTCCCCTAGACTACTGCCAGGTACAGCCAACCTGGCCGTCCTCGGCCCAGTGTGACCACTGCCACTCCGCATACAGGTCAAGGGCCAATTCTGGGGCCTGGTGTTCTGTGCCCTGCCCAGGGGCCAGCCTGAGTCTGTGGCCTGCGTGGTACCCCTCACCCAGCCCTGACACAGGTGGTGCTTTCCTCACCACTTCTGGCCACTGCATGAGCCAGGCCCAGCTGGGGGTCCCCTCCTCATCTTCATCGGGGCACGTCCACTCTTTCTTCCAAGATCTCTACTGCCACCTCCTCTGAGAAAGGTTCTCACTGGACAGTTTGCGGCTCCCTCCCGCACTCTCACAACCACCCACTCAGGGCCCCTCTGCATCACCTTGGGCGGGGCTGGACGGGAAGGTGAACTTGGCTCCATGTCCTTATGTCCCCCATGTCCTCCCAGGGCAGGGAAGGCAGGTGTTGGGATCCTGGGAAACCCAGGCCGTCAGAGGCCTGCACACTGAAAGCCAAAGCTGTTAGTCCGGCCTTCGCTTGACCTCTGCAGGACTTAGATGTGACCTGTCCCAGGAAGGTCTCAAAACCCCAACCATCAGCCTGCCATGGCGAGGGGTCCTGGCATCGTGAGCCATCACCAACTGGCCCGCAGCAGGCAAGTTTCAAGTCCAGGTAGTGGCGGGCCCGGAGCGAGGGCCACTGCAGACCTGCTCCGCAGGGCCCTCCACCGAGGCAGACCTCGGGCCAGGAGCTGTGATGGCCAGCGATGTCTGCCATGGGGGCAGAAGGCAGCGAGGTGGCCTGCAGGCATCCTTACCCGCAGACAGCCTCACAACACAGCCAGGGCCTCCTGCCTGGAACCCTTTATTGGAGGCGCTGAGTGTGCTAGTGCAAGCATTTTCTTATCTGCAAATGCAACGCTCAGGTCCCAGGAAGCGAATCAATGAACAGTGAGGCTGAAACAATGGGTGACTAACAGCCGTGCTGGGCCAAACCGTTTCACAATCAGTCCAGGCCACATCTCCAACACAGGAATCCACCTGGCACATCCTTACCCCAGAAGCAATTCAAATTACACTTGAACAAAGTGGGAGGTTGCGCTTACCGTGGCTAATTCATCAAACTTGCCGAAGAGCTCGTTGAGGAGTTTCACCAGCTCCTGGGCCGTGCACTGCGAAGCCAAGCCCGTGAAGCCCACAATGTCTGCGAAGAGGATGCTGCAAGAGAAAGGGGTGCCAGGCTGCCCTCCACAGACAGACAGGAGCCAGCCTCTTAGACAAATTACAACCCCCTGGGGTTGTATAGACATTTACAAGTCACCTTAAAATAGATCTCCCCATTTATTCCTCAACACAGGCTGGAAATGAAGGCTTCTTTGTTCCCATTTTACAGGTGAGAAGACTGAGGCTGGGAGAAGCTATGGGAGTCCCTCATGGTCAGAGAGGGAGTAAACACTGGAGCCATTCAGAGCTCCCGCTGACCCCTCCCAGGACAGGAGGGAGCAGCTCGGTGACCCACAATGACCCCTCCCAGGACATGGGGGAGCAGCTCCATGTCCGCTAGACCTGCCCCTCTTTGTGAGGTGACCCCCTGACAGGGTCGTGGCTAGTGGCACGTGAGCAGAAGTGACATGCTTTTAAGAAGTGAGGGGCCCTCTGCACTCTCTTTTCCCCTCCTGCCAGCTGATGCAGGTGACACAAGGCCGGGGCACGGTCAGAGCTCACAAAGGATTACTGCACTGCGTGGAGGGGCTGCCCCTCCGTCTGCTACGAGGGCAGGGGCCCACCTCTCTGGGGTCGAAGGCTCTCTATGCCAGGCGTCCATTTACTACAGAGCCTGGGTCACTCTAAACAACAGAGTGTCCACCCACGGCGCACAGCCATCTTCCTGGACACTACTAAGACTTTAAAAGTCTTAAATAGTGAAGCAACATGGCAGGACAGAGGGAGGACAGAGAGCTTGTAGAGAAACAGAGAGCCCTCCCCGAGCCATACACTTGGGAGAAGCTGGGGTCTTCCTGAAGAGTCCTCCAAGCAGCCCGAGACCCCATACGTGTGACGGACGAGGGAGATGTGACCAGGGGCCTATCTCAGGATGAGGTGCTCCTCTGAACCCACATGGGAGAGGCCAAGGGGCCTGATCACGGAGCCACTGGACCAGCACCCAGGTGCCCCTCCAGACCTGAAATGCCAGATCTGCATTTTCAGTAACACCTCATTGCCAAAAAGTGGGGACCCACATCATATGCAGGAAGTGGAGGCCCTTGTTATAGGCAGGAGGCGAGGACTAGTGTCATAGGCAGAAAGTGAGGGCCCTCATTATACACAGAAAGTGGGGACTCACATCATATACAGAAAGCAAGGGCCCACATCATATGCAGAAAGTGGGACCCACATCTCAGAGAGGCTTCTCCCTGATGAGACCCTCACCCCACCACATGTCAACCATGCCCTGCCCACGCGCAGAGAGCTGCTGTATTTACCCCACGACAAGTCTCATGTCCTATCATAATCGCCTAACTGCAGGACAGCATCCCTGAGACTGTGAGAAGCTTGAGGATGCAGACCCTGACTTGTACATCCCACAGCGTCTAACACAGAGCAAGGGGGATCAGTGTCTGGGTTCTGAGCAAATGAATGAATGAATGAGTAAAACCTGGGCGTCTAGGATATTAGAAATGTCACTAACTGATGCTGGTGAGCTGAGAAAAGGAACTGCAAGGGGTGGGGGGAGACAGTTTTTTTCCTTCTGTTTTGGTACAAAATTCAGGCTTATTTACATCTCGGAAAACCTATCACTGTTCCCTTCCTTCTCTACTTTATAACTAATAATTCATTCATACACCTTTCTCTATCCACTGGCTTTTCAGTCTCTGGTCATTCATTTGTTCCACAAACACTGACTAAGCACTGCCAACCCCCCTGCCTTTCCTCCTCCTCAACTACTTGTAGGTAACTTCCTCCCCTGAAGCACCCCAACACCCTCCATTCACACGGACAAGCACGTGTGGAGGGCCTCTTACATGCCAGGTCCCTCTCCTCAGGAGCTCAACATCCAGGAGTAGAAGGCTCAGAGCACGGAGGAACAGAGGCATCAACAATTTCAACAGTACAGTGAAGCGATGATATGAGAAGGCCAGAATTCTGCAGGAAGGCATGGCACCCACGTTGTTGATGCACCTAGGCTAGAGCGAGGTCCAGAGGCCACCCAGGAATTATCCAGACACAGAAGAAAGGAAGGAAGGAGGGAGGGAGGGGAAGAAGGAGAAGGAGGAAGAAAAGAAGGAAGGAAGGGATCGAAGGGAGGGAGGGAGGATTGATTCAGAAGTACCAATGGCATGTGTAAAACTAAGGTGGGTGAGAAACCATATAATGACTTGTCAAAGGCCAAGAGACGCAGACTGGTCAGAACATGGTACCAGCAGTAAGCAGCAGAGCACGAGTCTCCATGATGAGAGGCTCCCGAGAGTCACCCGAGGAAGGGCAGGAGGGGAGCAGGGGTTAGAGCTTAGACTCCAGTGGGACTGTCCAGCTCCACCATTTACAACAGAACCCCAGGCAACTTATCCAACACTTCCACATGTCAGTCCTTTCATCTGTAAAATGGGAACAAGACTAGAGTCCATCTCACAGAGTTGTGAAGGTTAAATGAATTAACAAACATAAAGCACTTAAACTAATACCTTGCACCTGATAAGAGCTCGACAATTGTTTATAATTACTTATAACAGTTTGTAAGTGTTACAATACAACAAATATTTATTGAAGGATTTATGTGCTGGGCATTGTTCTAGGTGCTTGGGGTTTAGCAATGAACAGAAGATTCAAACATCAGTGCCCTCAAAAAGCTTCCATTCCAGTTGGGGGAGGTAGACACTCACAGTATGTCAAAGGTGACAAGAGTAACTATAGAGAAACATAAAGCAGAGAAGATGGGTATGGAGCTGTGAGCAATGTTAACTAGGACTGGTCAGGCGACATTTGAGTCCTGAAGGGAGGAGGGAGGAAGCCATGAAGATACTAGAAGAGGGTTCCAGGCAGAAGACACAGCAGGTGCTGCTGCTGTGACTTTTGCTGGGTACAGAACTCTCATCTATTTAGTTCAGCCCTTGAGTATGCCATCCCACCGCCTTCTGGCCTCCATGGTTTCTTACGGGAAATCTGCTTAAAACCTTATTGAGGATCCCTTGTATGTGATGAGTCGCTTCGCTCTGGCTGCTTTCAAGATTCTCTCCTCGTCTGTGGCTTTTCACAATTTGATTATGATGTGTCTAGGTGTGAATCTCCTTGAGTTTATCCTAATTGAGCTTCTTCAATGTGTAAGTTAATGTTTTTCATCACATTTGGAACATTTTGGGCCCCTGTTTTTTCAAATATTCTTTCTGCCCCTTTCTCTCTTTCCTCTCCCCTGGGACTCTCATTATGAGTGTGTTGCTACACTTGATGGTGTCCCTCAAGTCTCTGAGGTTCTGTTCATTTTTCTTCACCTTTTTTTCATTCTGTTCTTCAGACTGGGTAATCTCAATCAACCTATCTTCAAGTTCACTGATTCCTTCTGCTCAAATCTGCTGTTGAGCCCCTCTAACAAATTTTTCACTTTAGTTATTGTATTTTTCAAATTTAAAATTTCTACTTTTTTTATAATTTCTATTTCTTTATTAGTATTCTCTATTTGATAAAAAAGAAATCTTTCTCATATTTTCCTTTATTTAAACACAGTTTGTTCTTTACACATATTTAAAATAGCTAATTTAAAGTTTTGTCTAATAAGTCCAATGTCTGGGCTTTTATGGGACAGCTTCTATTGATTGCTTTTTTTATTCCAGTGTAAGTCATACATTCTTGTTTTCTTGGATGTCTCACATATTTTTAATGAAAACTGGATAACATAATGTGGCAACTATGAAAATCAGATACCCCACCTCAGGATTTGTTGTTGTTGCTGTATATGTTGTTGTTTAGTGACTTTTCTGAACTAAATCTGTAAAGTCTGTATTCTTTGTTGTGCAAAGCCACTAAAGTTTCTGCTTCATTAGCTTAGTGGTCAGCTAATGACTGAACAGAAATTTCCTTACATGCCTGCAGCCAATAAGTCTCTCAGTCTCTGACGACAGGGTCTATGTGCATATCGGGGCATGCCTTCAACACTCAGACAGGCAGATTACAACTCTGCCTTAGTCTTCACTTCCTGCATGCGCAGAGCCTCATGGTCACCCAGAGGTGAGAGCCTGGGGCCTTCTGAGGCCTGTCCTGAGTATGTGCACATCTCTGTGCTTGTGAGTGGTCTTCTGACTCCCAGAAATATTCCCAGAGCCTCTCAAAGCACCTGATGAACATCTCATTCCTCAGTTTTTCCTTTAAGTTTTTTGATTACCTTGCTATTTGCCTCAACTGTTATCACTGCCAAAGGCAGCCCTGATGTTAAACAATTGCCACCGACTGTTTTCAATTTTCTGGGGCAAAGGCTGTTCACACTAAGCTTTGAGTCAGCTCAAATAAAGACAAGCGTGTGAGTGGGTTTTTCCAGGGAATTTCCAGACAGTCGAATAATGACACTTCTCTGAGAATGGGGCTTTGAAAGACCGACAATCTGGTTTTGCCCCCTCCAGTGACTGCCAGGCTGCAGGTTTTCACTGTGATTGCAGCTACTGGTTTTCAAAGCTATCATGGAGCTGGGGAGATGGGAGGATGGAACAGGGCAAGTTAGAACTCAACAAAGCTCACTGTTCTTACCAACATTTACCTGTTTTTCTTAAATAAACATTCTTGAATTCTTGCAAGACTTTGGTTAATTTCCAGTGTTCTGACAATGTTGATTCTGACCATTTTTGCCAGTGTCGTCACTGCTTTTATGAAGGGGAGGATTTTCAGATGTCTTTACTCCAATGGCATCAGCCAGTTGAGTAGTGAATGGTGTACTGAGTGTAAACTTTAAGTCTGGAGTGATGGAGAACCACTGAAGGATGGTAGGGACCACAATGAGATGTTTGTATCTAGGTTGTAGAAAGACGTTTCTGACCCCTGCTGGAAGGTGGCCAGAAGGGCTAGGGTGGAGAAGGTACCATCAGCGACAGGAAGCCTAAGCTTTCTCTCCTATCTTGGAGCTGTCATGCCTGCAGCTAGCACATCAGCCCCCTAGCTGCTGGGAACAAGGCTCCCACCAGGGAACATGGGTGTAGATTTTTCAGCAGCCAAGGGAAGTGGTGACTTGCCACATCTGTATTTGCTATCCCGGGTCAGAGGAGAGGGAGGGAAAAGGCATTTGAGCACCCATGCACTGCACCCACCTCCATTTGCAGCCCCACATGTCTGATTCCTTATCTGCTGTGTGCAGACACTCTGCCCCCCAAGGTACTTCTTGGAACATTCTGGTGGTTTGGTTTTCTCAGCAGGAGGCTGGGTCACTGTATCATGTCCTCACCCAGCAAGGAGAGGCAGTGGGAAAATGGGAAAAGTCTAGGCAGACATCAGCATCAGCCAATCCCAGGTCCAGCACCAGCCCCGCCACTCACTGGCCAGGGAATCCTGTACACTCACCTCATTTTGCTGAACCACAATTGCCTCACCTATGAAGTGGAGGTGACAGTGCCTGTGGATCACAGGAGTGTGATGACATTAAATGGAACCAAGTATCCAGCAGGGAGATCTGTCCTGCCTGGTCTCCAATGCTGACCCCACACACTGGGCCTTAACCCCACCTGACTTCATTGTACCCCTCTGTAGGAGGATGACACTGGTCCTAACCAAGAGGCACGATGGTGGGAGTGAGTGCACCCACCAGACAGCAGTTAGCCATACTGGCTTGCACACAGGGACAGCTGGGATCCTGACGGGGAGGGGCTGGCAGCAGCAGGCCTCAGCTCATTTCAGATGAACAAGTACCAGCCGTGGAGACCCAGTCTGCAGCACTCAACACAGACAGAATGAGGTTCTTCTTATCCTTTTGTGTCTGCAGGGGCCCAGTGAGCAGGGAGGCCTTACACCAACACCCAGAAGAGTCAGCAAAGGACAGCAAGAATGGAGAGCACTTCCGTCCTTCAAACCACCATCTCCTACCTGAGAGACACTTGTGGAAAGTGCTATTCCCAAACAGGCTACACTCAGCTATTCCAAGTACTTTGAAAGGGAATGCATGATTTAATAGAATAAAATGGTTTTTAACAGAATCTTTAAAAACAAACAAGCAAACCTCAGAGTATCTGGGGCAAGCTGGTTCACTTTGAGGACTCAGTTTCCCCAAGTGTAAAACGGGAACAATAACCCCTGCCTCCTGGAGATGTCACGAGATGAGCAGAGAGAAGGAGGACGCCTGACAGATCCTGGCACCAACGAGAATAACGCTCAGCTGTTAACCCAGTGCGAGCAAATTCCAAGCCCAGAATGTCATACTGCCCAAACCCGGCTTAGGGACAGAGTTCTGACCCTCTCTAGACAACATACAAAATAGAAGGTGCTAAAATAATGGGAAAGAGCAGCTGTGACATGCATCTCCCAAGAAGCTACCAGCCCCACTCCTCCTGTGGGACCTGCTTCCCTGAATGGCAGGTGCTCACCTGGGCCTCCTGACTCACACCTGCCTCCTCCCCTCCTCACAAATGGGGTCCATGCCCACCTCTGCCATCACCTCCAACCTATACCATCACCTCTCATCTCTATCATCATCTTCCACCTCCATCCATGACCTCCCACCTCCTCCACCACCCCACCTCCCCCATCACCCCTTACCTTCTCCATTATGCCCACCACCTCCATTACCCCACCTCTACCATCATCCCCCACCTCCTCCATCACTCCCACCTCCTCCATCACCCCCTACCTCCTCCATTACCCCCACCTCCTCTATTACCCCCATCTCTACCATCACCCCCATCTCCTTCATCACCCCCATCTCCTTCATCACCTTCACCTTCTCCATCACCCCCTACCTCCTCCATCACCCCCACCTCCTCCATCACTTCTATCTCCTTTATCAACTCTACCTCTACCATCACCTCTACTTCCAACATCACCTCCAACTCCGTCACCTCCCACCTCAGCTCCCTGGGCCCACCACCAGGCCAGCGCCAGCCCTACCTCACGTTGTCATGCCGCTGGATGTAAATCTTGTGGAAAATCCTCTCGGGGGGCTTCAGGAAGTCCTCCTTCATCTCCATGGCGACATTCCGGGGCAAGAGACTCATGAGCAGCCGCTCCTGGACAGGAGAGATGGGCCTGCATGATACAGCAGGGTCCTCCCTTGCACTTCCTTGACACACCCACCCCAGTGAGATTGGCACTGAGGAGCTTCCCTGGATGAGGGGATGCAGACCCTCCTCACACATGGCCGGCACACAGTCCAGTCTTGCAGACCCTGCCTGACCCCAGGAGCTGAGGTGGGTCCACACCCCAGTCTGGATGGTCATTCCATAGGCAACTCACTCCCGAGGCACTGGACAAGTGCCGGCATCACCTGCAGAACACCCAGCCTTCCCGTGCACACCAGCTGAGTGAGCAGGAGGTCACAGGGAGGAAACGTTGCTGCCTCCAACCAGGCCCTTCCAGCCTCACTCCTCACCCCATTGCCCAAGACGGCCTATCTCACACCTTCCTTAACAGTCAGTATTCTCCAAACACCCCTCTCTCACCACCCCTGGAACCACTTTCCTGAGAGAACTGCAACCTGCGGGGGACCTCGTCTGAGGGAACACCTGTAGGACTCTTGGTCTCTCCATCACCTCAGCTTCCCTGCATGATTTGGAGTTAGGGCAGGGAAGCTGAGGTGATGGAGAGACCAAGAGTCACAGACCAAGGGGCTACACCAGGAAAGAAAGAGGGATTGAAAGGCAGAGGGGACACTGACCAGCCTGGACCTCAAGAGATGATGGGAGAGCACTGGGGGCTGGCAAGTGCCAATCCCAAAGGACGGGGTAAGAGGCTGCTGGAGGCCCAGGCACACAGCCCCCAGCACAGGGGAACACTGGCTGGGGCACAGGGTGCTGGGAGAGATGGCTGTGGCAGTCAGCCACTGTTCCTGGATCCCTTCTCCACATCTAGCACCACAATCTAGCCCCTTATTCTCATCTGGGGACTTGGTGACCTGGAATAAACACTACACTGTCCAGCCCCCTGTGCAGCTATATGTGGCCAAGGAGACAGAAGTTGAAGGATCATGTGGGAGCTTCTGGAATATTCCTTAAAGACAGCTTGTTCTTCTTCTCTTCCTTGCTGCTGTTGCAGGGGATATAGTCATGATGGCTGGATATCTACCCACAACCTTGGTTCAGAAGGATGAAAGCCACACACTGGCAATGGCAAACCATTTAAGTAGATAGAGACTGGGTTGTGAGGGTTGCATGGATCAGATCTGCCACATCAACCATAAAATGCCTGCCTGGAAGGTGCATATGAGAGGAAAAGAGCTTTCTCACTCTTGTGAGAGCCATTGTCATTTGAAGTTCCTAATGGCAGGCTGTATTTCTGACCAAAGGCTCAACATTAGCTCCATCCACAAGATTAGTGGTAGTACCTAAAGCCAATACACATCAATAACCAAGACTCAAAGTACATAACCTTTCCCACAGGGAGCAAAATAGGCATCTGAGAGATCAAGCACCCATCCCTGATGAAAAACAAAAACAGCAAACAACCTGGGACAAAACGGCTCACTGACATCATAAAGATACTATCTGAAACCCACATCCAATCTCAAACCCAGTCCTAAAGCCCCAGGCAGCAATAAACATTATCAGGAGCAGACACAACATTGATAAGTTCTAGCCAGTAAAATAAGACACAAAGCTGGAAATCAAAGGGACAAATTTATGAATATGGGTCATACAAAGTGTCCCAGCATCCTATGAGGGCTATGCAAAAACCTTAATACATTTATCTTGACTATCAAAATGTGACTTAAAATAAATGTGCTATTCTTAATAAACATTAGATATTTAAATAACAATTCTGAGGACTCTGCTTCCAGGAAGATGGAGAAGTACTTTTCCCTATTCCTCCTACAAAGTACACTAAAAATCCTGGATGTTACACATAAAACAGTCATCAGAAGGTTCTGAAAGGCAGAGAGAAGAAGGCAGAGATATCAGAACTGAGGAACGGCACAGAGGTGAAGCCCTGGTCTTTTCTTTTTGCCTCGTGTATCCCCAGCTGAGTGCTGGAGATGTGAGCAACCCAGAATGCCAGTTGGCACAACAGGAAGTTCCAAGAAAAGCCAGCTCTCTCTGGCCAAAGCACCAAGATAGGGGCAGCCTCACGAGAAGAAAACTATTAGACAATACCACTCTACTCCAGGCAAACTACTGAAAAATATGCAAACTTCCACACTCCTCAGGCTGTGAGGAGGCACCAACCCCACAATGGAGTGTCAAAGAGGCCACACAAAGAGCCCCACCTTTCTGGCTGGTAACACATGCCCCCTGTTCCACGGAGTCACTGGAGGCCATGGGCTCGCCTGCTTCTCCCTCCCAGTCAGAAAGACAAAACTCTCTCTCCTGCATGGCAGTAAGAAGGAACCCTCCTCCCCATGAGTCCCAACAGAGGCCCAGTGTGGATCCTGGACTTTTATCTCCAGCTGGCAGTATCAGGTGATGGCCCCCTTTTCCCCTGCCAAGTGAAGTCACAGAAAACCAGCCAAAACACAAGGCCCAAATAAGACACAGAGCCGCATACATAATACTCCAAGTGTTCAGGTTCCGATTGGAAATCACTCAGCATACCAAGAACCGGAACAATTTCAACAAACGAATAAAGGCAATCAAGGAACAGACACCACCACCAAGATAACAGAATAATTAGAGTAACTAACAGGATCTTAAAGCAGCCATAGTAAGAATGATTCAGTGAAAAAACACAAGCACACTTGCAAAAATGAAAAAATAGAAACTCCAGCAAAGAAATAGAAGATATAAAGAAGAATCAAATGGAAATTGTAAAACTGAAAAAAAAAAAACATAAAATAAAAAGCTCAACAGATGCGCTCAACAGCAGAATGGAAAGAACAAAGGAAAGCTTAGTGAACTTGAAGGCAGAACAATAGAAATTGCCTAAACCGAACACAGAGAAAACAGATTGAAGAAAATAATAACAAACACAGGAATCCATAGGACTATAACAAAGATCTAACATCCATGTCAAAGGAGTCACAGAAGAGGAAAAAGAAGGTGGCTGAAAAAATATTCAAAGAAATAATGGATGAAAATTTCCCAAATTTGACAATAGCATAAATCTACACATTCAGGAAACTGAGAGAACACCAAAGAGGGCAAACCACAGAAATCCACACAAAGATGCAACATAGTCAAGCTTCAGAAAACTAAAGACGAAAAACAAGTCTTGAAAGCAGTGAGAGAGTAACAATACCTTACCTATACAGGAAAGACAATTTGAATCAGAGCAGATTTCTCATCAGAAACTGCAGAGGCCACAAGAAAGTGACACAACATTTTTCAAGTGCTGAGAGAAAAGAACTGTCAACCCAGAACCCTTCAGGAATGAAGGATAATCAAGACATTCTTAGGTGAAGGGAAACTGAGAGAGTTTGCCACCAGCAGACTTGCCCTAAAAGAATGGCTAAAGGAAGTCCTCTAAACAGAAGGAAAACAAGAAAAGGATCTTTGAATATCAAAAAGGAAGAAAGAACATGGTAAGAGCAAATATATGCATAAATGCAATAGTTTCCCTTCTCCATTGTTTGATGGTTAAAGCAAAAACTGTAACACTGCCTGATGTGGCTCTAAATGTACATAGAAGAAATATTTAACACAATTTTATCATAAATGAGCTTGAGGGACAAAGATGGAGGTGGAGTTTCTACACGTCACTCTATCTGGTAAAATGTTAACAACAATAGGATGTGGTAAGTTATGTATGCATAATGTAAAACCTAGAGCAACCACTAAAAAAACTATACAAAAAGATACACTCAAGGTCACAATAATTAATCAAAATTGAACTTTAAAACAATATTCAAGTAACATACAAGAAAGCAGAAAAAAGAAAACAGAGGAAAAAAACAGAAAAAAAAATAAAGTGACAGACTTAAGGTCTATCATAACAATAATTACATAAAATATAAATGTTCCAAATACTTAAATTAAAAAACAGAGATTGGCAGAGTGGATAAAAAAGCATGACCCAACTATACGGCATCACCAAGAAACTCACTTAAAATATAATATAAGCAGGTTGAAGGAAAAAGATGAAAAAAATATATAATGCAGACATTAATCAAAAGAAAATAGGAGTGGCTATATTATTATCAGATAAGCTAGACTTCAAAGGAAAAACTTACAAGTCAGAGAGAGACATTATGTAATGATAAAAGAGTCAATCTACCAAGAAGATATAGCAAGACTAAATGCACCAAACAACACAGCTTCAAAATATGAGAACCCAAAACTGACAGCACCAAAAGGAGAAACAGACAAATCTAATTACAATCGAAGACTTAAATACTCCATATCAATTAATGACAGATAACTGGGCAAAAATCAGCAATGATACAGAAGAACTCAAGAACACCATCAGCCAACAGTACCTAATCAACATTTATAGAACACCTCACTCAAGAAGTGCAAAATACACATTCTTTTTAAGCACTCACAGAACATATACCAAGGTAGGCCATATTCTGGGTCATAAAACAAACCTCAACATATTTAAAAGAATTCAAATGACAGAGTACGTTCTCTGACAATAATGGACCCAAACTAGAAATCAAGAGCAGAAAACAAGAGAAAAAATCTCCAAACACTAGGAAATGAAGCAAAATACTTCTAAACAATCCATGAGTCAAAAGGATATCCCAAAGGTATCCTGTATCAAATTTTTTTAAATAGACACAACTGAATGAAAGTGAAAATACAACATATCAAAAGTTGTGGCATGTAGTGCTGAGAGGGAAATTTATAAGACTATATGCATATATTCAAAAAGAGAAAAGTATCAAATAAATAATCTAAGATTCAATCTAAAGAAACTAGAAAAAGAAGAGCAAAATAAACCAAGAGCAGAAGAAGGAATAAAATAATAAAGATGAGAAGAAATCAACAAAACCGAAAACAGAAAAAATAAATAAATAAAGGAAATCAATGAGCTAAAAAGATGGTTCTTTAAATATATCAGTAAAATTTACATACTTCTAGAAAAACCAACAAACTAGAGAGAAAGAGAGAAATGACATAAATTAACAAAAGCAGGA